TGAATGTCTTAACTCAGTAACTAAGAAAATGACATGAAGGCTATGTTAACCAGTTTGATGAGAGTATTTCAAAATGTATATGAAAACAGCACACTGTACCTCATGATTGCATTAATGTACACAGTTATGCTATAAGAAATAATAAAGGAAATTTGAATGGGAAAAAAAAAGAATTTCCAATCCAACTAATACCATTTTATTTCAATAGTTAGAAATCAAATATTAGTATTCAAAGAGGATTCCAACATGGGTATAGTAGCCCGTATAGCCTATGGCTAGGGAGGAGTGAGTTATAGGAAATACCTTTAATGAAACACCTTGGTGAAAAAGGCATGGAGAGAGATTTAGTTCTAACAAACATGAGAGAACTCGCGAGATCAGAGTACTGGTGAATTGGCAGTCTCTACACCTCTGGTGTTGAGTGGCATGAGCTCAGCCTTATATTAGGCTGGAGGAGAAAAAAGTCAAAAGCATAAGCATTCTATCATGGACACGCTTACTCTGACTCTGTCTCCTCTCCTGCCTGCGGAATGCTAGAACAGCGTCTCTCTCTGCTGAAGATTACCAACCTCTGCCAAAGACTAAGATCTATCTATGCTAAGAAGACTGCTTTACTCTCCCTAAGATTCTCTCTCTCTCTCTCTCCAGCTAAAGTAGATAGCCCTCAGGGACCTAAGAGAAACTGTTCCTGAGCAAGGTAGCTTAGTGGTCCGTGTTCGGAATCTATCTAAGCCAGGCCCGAGACCTGGCCAGTCCCGGGCCCTGACAAGTGGTGTCAGAAGCAGATCCTGACACATAGGTTTTAAGAAATATGTACTGATATTTAGTACTATTTACTTGTTACTTGGAATTCCCCTTCCAAGATTAAATGGGATCTTAAAATCTCATTATTATTTAATGAAAGTCACATCTCTAAATTCTTTAATTAGCAGAGAGGTTAAGACTGTCACATACAGGAACACTCTGAATCCATTTTAGGTCTTCTTCCCTCAAAAAGGATGTACCGACTAAACTATGAAGATGTCAAATGTAAAATTAATCTTGGGTAGTCTAAAATGGGAACTATTTCAGATTCCGAGTCAGTGGGTGTTAATTTAAAGGGCACTGGAGACATTCAGTCCTTTCTTACATGTTTCAGTGGTCTCTGGAGACTGTTTACCTGTGGAGTTTCAAGTTCTGCTATACTGACACAAGGCATGAGATATACTGTGGAACTTAAAATGTCATTGACATTAGCAATGTTCCTAATTTGGGGAGCTAACGGTAATAATTTAGATGGATCATATCTTTATTCTGTCTTTACACAGTGTTCGTTAAGAAAGTCAGTATTATAGTGGTCAAGTGCTTCGGCACTGGGAATCAAACTGACTTAGTTTCAAATCCCATCTCTACCAAAGCTTTCAACCTCTTCAAGCCTGAGTTTGCTCATCTGTAAAGCGAGGTTTAACAGAATCACGTAGTGCTATCCTGAGGATTAAATAATACACATCAATGCCTGGTACATAAAAAGAGACAGTAAACATTAACTATTGTTACTACTATTAAATAGATAAGTCATTTTTGTTGTTATTGTTGTTGCAGTTTTTGGCCGGGGCCGGGTTTGAACCAGCCACCTCCAGTATATGGGGCCGGTGCCCTATTCCTTGAGCCACAGGGTAAATGGGTAACTCTTAATTATATTTATCTGTATGTTATCCCAAAGAAAAGAAAGTTTCTCTGTAAAATTTAGATTTTATTGGATCTAAACTTAGTTTTATCCATCAAAGATCCTATGAGAGCATAATCTGTGGTTCAAATCATTAGAAAGACAAATTACTGAATGCTTTCCAGATATGAAAGAATTTACTGAGCTTGCAAAGTTCAAAATTTTAGAATTTAGAAATGAAATTCCAAACAGTAAAATTTATTGCCTTACCATAAGAGAACAAAAGAGTACCAGACAATGCAAGTCCTTTAAAATGCAACAATATCATTAAATCTACTTAAAAGAGAACAGATTGTTAGAGAAAAAGCATACTGCACAAATTTGTTCTTCAGGCACAATAAACCTTTGATTTGGTGGTAACTCAACCCCCAGAGATACTTATCCTGAATGAGTCAGTTATTAAAATCTGTCACAAAACAAAACCTGAAAACATGGAAGACGAAAACAAAGCCTAAAATGACAATAAATATAAGGAAGAAAAGAAAATTAAATACTAAATACTACAAAGCAGAAGCTAGAGGAAAAGCCCTGACCTCTTCCCTGTGGAAGGAATATTCATGGTAAATAGGAACACCAACCCCAAAGCAAGACTCCTGGATTCCAGACTAATTGCTGAGAAGTTTATGACACTGGGAAGGGAGTGAGGGGGAGGAGCTTACCCATTATTAAAAGTCTGTTCCCAAATAAAAGTTAAAAAATTATCAATCAGCACAAAGATTTTACAAAAATGAAAATTTTAATTTAAAAGTTTTTGTAATCAGTAGTGAGATGCCTCAACATTTTCAGAAGTTCTTGTTATGTTCTATACATAGTGTTAAGCCTTGTACTTGTATTATTAAATATTTCATTTCACCCTCACAGCAACCCCAAAAGATCATTTAACAGAAGAGACTCGGATGTTAAATAGATTACTCAAGCAGTGACACTGATTCTGAACTAAGTTGTTTGTCTCAAATAGTTCCTTTTTAAATTAGCGTATTATTACTTATATCAAACTCTAAAGTCTTCCAAGAGACAAATCTGGGGGGGCTCTAAAACCACCCTAAGAGTAGCACTACTTTTAGGTGCTTACTTATAGATTTATGATTTTAGTTTTTTTAAAGACACATGGTCTCCTCACGTTGCCCAGGGTGGAGTGCAGTGGCTATTCACAGGCACAATCAGGCACAATTATAATGCACTGCAGCCTCCAACTTCCGGGATCAGCCTCCTCAGAAGCTGGGACTACAGACATACACCATCACACCAAGCCTTGTATTTTGCTAGTACATCAAAAATGCGGCATTATAACCCAGAGGTCGACAAGAAGAGAAGTCCAAAGACGGACAGAAAGAAAGCCTTCAGAAATTTTTATAGCAATATGATTATTACAATTTTAGGAGTAATGTTATGTCTGTTGAATCTAATTAACAGTACATTTGGGCTTATATTTTGTAAGCCTTTTTTTCACTTCATTTTTCTAGTATTTCATTTTTACAAAGGTATCAGTTAAAAAACACTGGTCCTTTGCCAGACAGTTTGTGGAAGATTGCTCTAGAACTCGGGTGCGAACACAGCTTGCTCTCTGCTACCAGCTCTGTGACAAAGAAGAGAAACAGGTAAATAACAATCCTCAGGTAGTCAATCTAAAATCCCACTCTGGCCATCTGTTTGTATCATGACTTCATTCATCAGCTGGAGCAGCTGCTCAACTGAGTTTATACAGGTAATGCAGGCTCTCAGCCTGCTTATGTACCATTGTTATTTAAAGCCAAAGATTAGCAAACCTAAAAAGCTTAAGATGGTACCAGAGTGTCCAACTTATTTACCAGACAGGACTTCATTTGTGTAAAGCACCTTTGGCCTCTTTTACAAGTCTAACATTAATCTTTCTCTTTTTCAATGCTGAAAAATTCAGCATCATGATCATCATAGTCATTTATTACAGCATTTGAGAATCAGAGTTTTTTCCCCCTTTATTTTACAAATCATTCAGGTATGAAGGCAGATCAAAAGTAAAGGAGGAAGGATGCAAAAGTATCAAGAAAGGCGATTTGGGGGTGAGAAGTGTTGGAGAAAGTGACAGAGAAATCAATGTCACATAAACCTCTTGATGGTCAGATCTGACATGTGGACCTCATTGCTATAGCAATACCAGACTTTTAAACTCATTTCTAAACACCAACCCTGCCAATTAATGGTTTTATTAGCTATCTGGACTTTTATTCCTCCTCTGAAAAATTGTGAAGAAAAAGTCTTGAATGAAAAAGCAGGCTCGGCTCGGCGCCTATAGCTCAACCGGCTAAAGCGCCAGCCACGTACACCTAAGGTGGCGGGTTCGAATCCCCAGCCCGGACCCGCCAAACAACAATGACGGCTGCAACCGAAAAATAGCCGG